TGTTGAAGGTGACTCTAGAAACGGGACCTCGGAGAACAAGGGCGCTGCTCCCCCAACGGTCCCCGGGCCGGGTGCACGAACGGCCGGAAAACCGCCCGGGGGCCGCCAGAAGGGGGCAACCCCGCGCTCATGCTGTAGTTCAAGGGTGCGTGCCAGCACTGAGAAGCAGACAGAGAAGTAAAGATAAGCAAATTCTGCCCTGGGCAAGAAGGTGTGTGGTGCGATTGCGGCAGTGAGACGTGGAGACTGTGGTGAGCTCGGGCACGGAGCCGTGAGCTTCCAGCTGTCTGAACAAAAACAGAGAGAAAACCAGTAACATGACATTTCCACAGCAGGAAGGGGCCTTGGAAACATGCTCAGCGGAGTCAGCCAGGCACCAGAGCCCAAAGTCTGTGTGCCGCTGCTCCGAGGCACTTTGAATGGTCTGATGCAGAGGTAGCAGGTGATGGGGGCTTGCCAGGAACGGGGTGCTGGGAGTGGGAGCGGCAGTTAATGTGCATCGAGTTTCAGATTGGGAGGGTGAAAATGTTCTGCAGATGCTTAGTGGGTGATGGCTGTACAGGGTTTTACTGTCCCTAATGTCACTGAACTGTTCACTTAAACATAGTTGAAATTTTAAGTGTAATATATATTTTGCCAAAAACAGGAATTTTAAAACCCACATAATATCATCTATATCTCATTCTTCCCATTTTAAAAGAACCAATTATTTTTTGGTTTGGTGTTTGTTTTTGTGGGCACCAGGGTAATCTGTCAGTGAGCTAATGCACTCAGCCCTTTTTCAATTTAACATGGTCTTACCAAATGGGTAAGTCTGGCCTTGAACTTGTGATCCTCCTGCCTTGGCCTCCCCAGTTGCTGGGATTCCATGTGGGTGCCACCATGCCTGGCTTTTTTTGGTTGTTGTTTCTTAACGAAGTGTCTTAGATGACCTTAAACCAGTATAGAAGCACAGAGCTCAGGACTGTGCATGTGCGTGGACTTCATCACAGGCTACAGGAGAGCAGGGCCTTCCCCTGATAGTCGTCAATGTGAGTGTAAAGGAATCGGACCAAGTGTCACCCGTTATACCTTCACATCCTGAGGACTTTGGTAGCCAGTAGTATAAGTGTTCAAAACCAGGTAAAATATGGCGATTAATTTGAACATACCCACGTATAGGACAGTTCTTTAAATCAAGACTGTTTCCATTCAATTATTTACTTTCCCTCCTTAGTATATTAAGGGAGCGTAGCAGACATGGAGCTTGTGAAGTGAGCCGGTCAGGTGGATAGCACCCCTGCCATGTTGATCAGGGGGGAGCCAGTTCCCCAGGCCCTGCCACCTGTGTCTTAGAAGCCTGGAGACATGGACCTCTGAATTATCAGTGGCCTTATGTTCCAATAGACGCTGTCTCCATGCTGCTCACTGTCAGAGCTCGATGATGGGAGCATACACACGCAGGTGCACAGTCGTGCCACCACTACCTGCCCTCTGCCCAGGCGCTCAGCCAGCTCGGAGCAGAGTGCGTCCATGCTTCATCAGAGCTAGGTGCTCCCCAGCCTCGGGAGCCTGCACCCCACATCATCTCCATGGGAATCACGTTGGGATTCTGTCAGTCTTCTCCACAGGCACACCTGATCACCATCATTTACTTGCACAGTAGGCCAGGGGCTCTGTGAGGAGGGTACTATCAATACCTCCACGTCATAGATGAGGAAACCAAGGCACAGAGGCTACGGGCAAGTTCGTTTTATAAAGTGTTACGATGTCGTCTCTCACTTCACCTCTGTTTAGTATGAGACAACCACATGTGGGTTGGCCTCTGGGCCTTCTGTTCCACTGGTCCTCGTGTCTGTACCATGCGGTTCTTGTCACTCTAACTCTGTAGTATAACGTCAGCACTGCATTGTGATGCCTCCTGCGTTGCTCTTCTTGCTGAGGGTTGTGTGGATATTTGGGGTCTTATGGTCTTATTTTTCGAAATGAATTTTGAACTGTATTCTTAGTTCTGTGAAGAATGTCGTGGTATCTATATTGGCAGAAAGCCTTTTTAAAAATATTTTGTAGTTGTAGATGGACAGCATGTCTTTATTTTGTTTATTTTTATGTGGTGCTAAGGATCGAACCCAATGCCCCACATGTGTAAGGCAAGTGCTCTGCCACTGAGCTACTGCCCCGGCCCAGGAAAGCCTTTTCAATAAATGGTGCTGGGAAACCCAGAAATCCATGTGTAGAAGAATGAAATTTTA